TGGGGTGGAGAGGAGAGGGGTCCACCAGGCCACCACAGAGTGTGGGGCCTGGGCACAGCTGCCAGGTCTTGACTATTGGTTTTCCAGTGTCTGTCAAACAAATACACTGGTTCCTCCTTAAAAGTGAACAGAATTTGGCTGTTCCTACCACCCCTCCTGCACCCCTCATTCAAGCCTTCATTCCAGTCTCCCCTCTGCTGCACCCCTCACAACCTCTTTTGGACTCGTGACTAGAGTAGGCTTTAAAACCATGACTCATATGCTTCTGTGCTGTTACCCAAGGCCTGTCTCCCTCTTAGAACCACACTGGCCTCCTGAGGGTTCCTCAGATAGGCCTGGCACAATCCTACCCCAGGGCCTTTGCACTTGCCACTTCCTCTGCCTGGAATGCTCTTCTTCCAGACAGTTGCATGCCTTTCTCTTGCCCTCCTTCAAGTCTGTGTAGGCTTCAACATATGAATAGCTCTTCCAGCTCATCACCATCAGGAGCCTACTTAGCTCTCACTTGCTTTTATTGCCTTTGGACATACTGAATGCAAATCCCATGAGGTTTGATCTGTTTTGTTCATTCTTGTAACTCTGGGACCTTGAACGGCATGCAGTAGGTGCTAAGTAAATGTTTGCTGAGTGAATGAGTGACCCAATGCCCCTAGCTGAAACCTTCCATTGTTCACTCATTGCTATTCAGGGGCAAAGCTCCACATTCCTCAGTGTGGCCCTGTGGCTGAACTGGGCCTTCCTTTCCAGTCTTCCTTTCCTAGAGGCCGTGCTGGGCATCTCTTGGGCACTGGCTCAGGCGTCCCCTCCCCTGTCCCTCATTGACCTTCCCTTTGCCCCTCCCACTCCCTTGGGAAGACAGACCCTGACCCTGCGACTTCCGTGCGGCCGGCAAGGCAGGCGTCCCCTAAACGTCTGAGGGTGTCTGAAACGTGAATATAAAGTTGATTCATTTCTAAATGAGAGCCGGTCACCTGGATCTCACATGACCGAAAACAGCAGTGGCGCCCCAGGGTGTCTGGGACCATGTTGTGGAGCTCCTGCATGGAGACAGGGGCCTGAGCACTCGGGGAGGATGAGGCAGGACAACTGCAAGTTTGAGCCCAGCCTGGGCAGCTTGGTGACTTCGTGAGACCCTGTCTCAGTAAGAACTACAAATGGGCTAGGATGGAGCCCGGTGCAGAGGCCCTGGGTTCAATGCCCAGCACCCCCCACGCGTACACGGGCACAGTCACCTCTCGCGAGTCCCCCACACATCGCGTTCATCGTCAGTACCAAAATGGCTTCAAATGCTCGGCAGAGCAAACCTCCCCTCCGCTTCTCCTCCCGGAGTCCCCAGGGCCCAGGACAATGCGCACAGCCACGACACTCCAGAGACGACCCTGCTTTAGAGGGTGACGATGGCAGAGACCAGTGAGTTTAGATCCTCTTCAAACGAAGCCACACCGCGTATCCGAGGGACCCTGGTGCCCACGAGCAGGAGTCACTGGAAGACACCGTCCGCGCGGAGTGGGATGGGCAGCCAGGCACAGGTGCCGGCTCTCAGGGTGGCCACGGTCCCCACCGGCATCGGAGCAGGGCATCTCGAGGCATGAGCCACGAGGGCAGATGCCCGCTCAGTGCACTTCTGGGACAAGGTGACACTGTCATTGCAGGTCTGTTGGAGGGAGGAAGCTCATTTTTTTGAAGCTTAAGCCTTTGGTAGTAACTTAATTAGGACACGCTGTAAAACCATCAGGAAAACTGTCAGGAGGACCCCTGAGTCACCAGCAATGACAAATCCTGGCAAGTGGCCTCCTCCAGGAGAGAGAGAGAGAGAGAGCGGGAGGGAAGGGCAGGGGAAGGGCAGGGGGAGGAGGTGGAACAGGGGGAAGGGGGAGGGAGGGAGGGGGAGGGAGCACAAGTTTAAGTTTGACCCCCCCCTTTGGGGCCCATCCTCAAAGATCACCAGAGGCCCCCAGCTCTCACTCAGCCCACACCCTTCCCACCTCTGAATCCTGAGGGCCTTATGTACACACACACACGCACACACACACACACACACACACCCCTTGACTCCACATCACCATTTTCAATTTTGTAACATCACACCCTAGCTCTTGCCCACAATCCTCTTTTACGTAGTAGCATCCACCTCACGTTTTAACTCGAGAATGTCTGTGTGTGTTTTCATAGTCCCAGGCTTCTTGTATTTTACAAGTCCCTGCTTGCTGTACATACTGGCCACCCTTGTTGTGAGGACCCGGTACCCGCCCAGAACGCATCTGAAGTCTTCCTGCGCCTCCTTCAGCACTCCGCCCTTTCTCCTTTTTTCTTAGTTCCCTCCCGTCTTGCGAAAGATCTATCTCTGCTTCTATTATCTGTTTTTTGTTTTGCTCTTTAGTAAAACATGGTATTTATATATAATGGAGCACTATTCTGCCATGCGAAGGATATGTTGGAGTCATCTGTAGGAAAATGGATGTGGCTTCATGCACGCACACGAAAGCTTAAATAGTTCATGGTTTCTCTTATATGAGGAGCCTAAAGGATAAATCTTTAATACGTTTTAATGACATGACTGTTTTAATAGTTGCTAAAATCACATGCTGCTATATGCTGTAATTTACTACCTTGCAGAGTTATTTGGAGCCTTTGTGCTAAAAGTGGGCGTCTGAAGCTTGAATTGGTCTGTAGATGCGTTTTCTTCCAAAATACCCAGTAGTGGCACAGAACTTTGCTGCCTGCTCAGGGAAATCCTGGGTGTGCCTGGATTTCAGATTTCTGATACACTAGCTTGGTGAGGAGCGCCTGCCACCATGTCCGAGATGCTGTGTGCCGCCTGCTTCGCCAGTGTCCCTACCTGTGCCTCCTGTCCCCCCACGAGACTGTCCTGGCTGCACAGGCACGTGTGAGCCCCACCACGCCGCCTCCCTGCTGAGTCTTTCTTCCCGTGGCAGTGACACAAAGAGCGCAGCACAGGCCTGCTGTGCTGCCCATCTCCTCCCCTGGGAAGCTGGGACAAGTGCTTGGTTTTGCTCTTTGCTCCCTGCCCCCACGGGTGGGCGGGCGGAACAGGTGTTATTTGTTGCCTGTGGTGTGGGACAAACACACACAATGGCTGATGTGGGTTAGGAGCCCAGCAGCTCGGGAAAGTGCCCAGCAGTTCTGGGGCAGAGGAGAGGCTGAGGGAAGGTGCGATTTCTTTCCTTTTTTATGAGTCTGTGTTTACAGTACATGATGTTTACACTCATTTGAAGAATAGGCACCTGGACCTGTTATGTTTTAATTCTTTATTCCCCTTCCCGTCTGCTCCCTCCCTCCCTCCCTCTCTGTCCATGTCTAGGTCCCCTTCCCGCATGCAGATCTATCTCCTGATAATAAAATGAAATAAAGTAACACTGCGCTACCCAGAAACATCTCTTCTACAACCTCCTGCACAGGAGAGGTGCTTCTGGGTAGCACAATTAGTATGTTTTTATTTTGCAGTGCTGGGGATCGAACCCATGCCAGGTGAGCGCCGCTGTGCTGAGCTGTAGGCTTCATGTTCAGGAAACTGTCAGCATCTCCAAGAGGCCGGGGCTACGCCAGCCCTTGCTGTTGCTGGTCTTCGCAGTGGCAGCCTTAGCGGTGGATTTCTTGCTGGGATTTGAACTTGCATTTCTCTGATGACCGATGCCTAATGCTGACACCCACATCTTCTCTCGTGCAGGATCTGCTCGGATCTTTTGCCTATGCTTTTAATTGGCTCATTTGGCCTTTTGAGTTTTGTTTCTTCAAACACAGTGCGGGAAATTGTAATCTTTCAGGAACAGATTTTGTGAATATTTTCTCAGAGTCGTGGCGGACTTTTTCATATTCTTAGTTCTATCTTTCAAAGGGCAGATGTTTCGGATGTTGATGAAGTCAGCTGATTTTTCATTTATTGACAAATAAAATTTATGTGTATTTATGATGTACAGCATAGTACTTTGATATAGGCATAGACTGTAGAGAGGCTAAGCCATGCCCTCACCTGTATCTTACGGTTTTGGGAGTGAGAACTCTCAGCAGTTTATGTCATGACTAACAGCAGTCACCATAATGTTCAGGCTACCTGAACTTACTCCTTCTACCTCAAATTTTTTCTTAGGTAGTGGATGCCCTAAGAAAACAGCTGCCTAACCCGAGGCAGAGAAGGCACTCAAGTGTTTTCTTTCCTAGTTTAAGTCAAAAGAAGGTGTGAGCAAGGAACTGGTGTGATCGGACTCACACCCTGCGCACCTCTTTGCTGGGCTGGGCAGAGGCTGGTTGGGGGCTCAGATGCAGATGTGAGGATGGAAACCATGGCAACAGCCCAGGCTCCGACCAGGCAGGGCAGAGTGGAGGTGGCTCAGAGAAGTCAAATTCTGGAGACATTTATCAGCAAGCTTCTTGGCGTTTGTCCTTCATCCGTCCTTGACGAATAACATCAGCTTTAAGGGAAGTGCTTTTCTTTTCTTTGAAGATTCAAGCGCTTCTAGTTTTACATGGGTCCAAATATAAGCACAGGACAAAACTTGTCTGCTAGATCTTTTAGCCTATCTTCACTATTTCAAAGAACTTGTTTTAAGTTTCAATCCACAGGTTGTTATTCTCTGGCCATCGAAGCCCCAAATATAACAGGGCATCTCATCTATCTGGCCGTGAAAGACTAAAAAAAGGAAGCCAACATATTTCATGTCACACTCTGCGTCACTTCTGCTAGGACCCATAAATCCACGTCCCTCTGCTTGGCCACATCGATTCATGTTTGAGCCTTTCTTTAACTCATGATTGATTGCTGCGAGGGACTCCTTTTGCCAGACTTACAAACTTCACTGTTCTTTCTTTATATAGCACCTGCTCTGTGCACTAGGCAGCAGACAGTAAATTTATTGCCTATGAACTATCACTTTGAAAAATTACTTCAATGCAAAGTGATTGCCTTTTCGCCTCCATAGCCAATAAATTCATTTTATATTTTTGGAGGGGACGGTATGAGGTCATAGCATGGTATATATAATCAGTGGTCAGAAAATGGGAAGGAGCAGGCTGAAGTTTCCCAACAGAAGCCAAGCGGGAAGGCTCCTGTCTCCTACCAGCCATGCACAAGCTGGCCGCCTGCTTCCTGCTCTTCGTGGGGCTGTTGCACCCGCTCTGCTGTCTCCCCGTCAGTGGCTCCAGAGAAGCGCCCCTCCAGCTGCCGGGTAAGCTGAGCTTGCTCTGTTACTCTTGCAGTCTTCAGTGCTGCGCTAGCTCCCTGCGGGATTCTTGCTTAGAGGAATCTGGTATCAGGAGTCTCAGCTGAGAAAAGAATGTAAGGGGTCCTTACTGCACATTTGAGACTCAGCAACGGACACAAGTTCTCTGTAAAGTGCAGAACTAAAAGAGAAGCATGGCTTCTTCGGGTCTCCTCTGTAATCCAAATTTTTATTTTGGTATTTTTTTCCACTTAGGAAAATTGCGCTAAATTGAAAACCTCATTAGTTTCAATTTTTAAATGGACTGGATGTAAAGCTGTCTTTACGATTACAAATGATATTACTTGCATTCAGAGTGACCATCTGATTGCCATATGCAGCAGAGGCTCGTTTAAGAGAGAAGTTGGGTGCGGGAGGCAGGGGCGTCACTGACTCCTGAGCGCACGTACTTTTCCCTTTTGATTTATATTCGTTCCTTTGAAGTCCAAGGGAATGCAAAAAATATCAGTCGAGCAGAAACTTCTTTTGCAACTGCCTCTTAATCTAGGCTAGGAAATGTTATTAGGTTGTGTACTAGGTTTTATAAAAAACTTAACTGGATTTAATCATCTTTAACTCTGGACACTTTTAAGACTGTTTTTAAGCAAAGGAAAGACTAAGCTACTGATTTATAATTTCTAGTCCTAGAGATTTCTCCCCAGCACCTTTCTGGTGGTTTTCAAGCATCGTTAGTCATTCACACGGCCACTTCTGGTGCCTGAGCCCGTGACTAGCAAATCGTGCCAGTCAAAGACAGTGTTAACTGAATCTGTTATTTAAAAAAGGACGCAAACATCCCAAGAAATAGGAACGAATATCCAGTTACCAATGTCATGCTAAGATGACATGTAGTTACCACCGTTACCACAACCAGACGAGATGCGCGTAGCCACGTTTCAGGACAGAAGCGTTTGTGCTCCCGCCTTCCCGTCCTCATTAGCAGTCTTCACAGGCACCACGGATGTGCGTGGGTCCCTCCATCGGGCTGGCCCAGTCTTGCGGTCGAGGCTGCAGCACACAGTGACCCAGCCCGGGTGGCCCAGCCCGGCCCGCACAGCCCTTGGCACCGCTGGCTGACCACGGCACACTGTGAAGGCCACGATCTAGCCCCTTAAGAACTATTCTGTACTAGACCAAGTCTGAAAACTGCACCCCCTGCCCCCTTGATGTGCCCTCTCAACACGAGCTGTCCTTCTTCCGCTCATTCCGCTGTACTGCCCGGATCACCTACAGGCAAAAGGCAAAGGGCAGCTGCGGATAAAATGAGGATGGACTGGACCTTTTGAGCGACATGCTTTGGGGCTCTGCTCTGCTCTCCCTCCCGCCGGGGCAGGTGGGCGCCCGGCGGTCCCACAGGCAGGGAGGGCGGCAGGACACTCATCCCCCTTGCCTTCTCTGGCTAGCGCACTGGACCGCAGCACTCGCGCTTATTCAAGTGACAGGAGGCAGGTCACGGCTCGGTGCCCGAAGCTCTGTTCATCTCCCTGGCTGTGGCCTGCCAGGGGAGGCAGGGGAGGCTGCGGGCAGGTGAGTAGGTGTCGGTTTTCACTCTGCAGCCCCTGATGAAGAGGCGAGGCTGGCCCTGGAGGAGATGGAGAGGGCATCTCTCCTGCGGCTGCTGCGGGAGGCGCTGGGTGCAGAGAGCAGCGCCAGGCTCAGGCAAGCGGGTACGGGGGTCCTCGCTCGGGCACCCCTTCACTTTATTGCTACTGAATTTGCACCCCGACCTCAGCTAGTAGACGAGGCGAACCCCATGTTGGAGGATAAAGGTGAGCTGCATGGAAGAGGCAACGCATCAGCCAGCACCCCACTCTCCGGCCCCTCGTCCCCACTCCTGGCAAACACATTTTCCCTGAATGCCACTTATCAGCTCAGAGGCGGCACTGTGCTTAGTGCAGGGTCCAGTGAGTGCAAGGTGAACCCTGGCTTCCCGCTCGGGAAAACCTTGAGCGATCACTGAACTACCAGCGTTTAGTCAGGACACAGGCGACAGAATGTCCACCTGTTAGGGGTATTTTGAAGAGGAAATGAAAGTAACAGTCCAGCAAATCACACAGAAAGTAATCAATAAAATGTCAGCTTTGACTGCTTTTCTCCATGAAGATATCTGTCCCATCCCCGAAGGAAGCTTAGGACGTTCTGGGAAGCGGACAGTGAAAGAGAGCCTTTTGATAGACACTGACAGTTCAGTCGCTATTTTTGATGAACTACTGAACTGCTAAGTTACTGAGAAAAATGCAGTCTTTTGTGAACCCTGGTGGTAAGAATTCCTGTCTTCATTCAAGTAAATATCTCTGCTGTGTAAAAGAGGGGATTAGACATACTTTAGAAATATTCGGGTCTTCAAAGACGCATACATGAGGGCCGGGATTTGGCTCAGCGGAGCCACGCCTGCCTCACAAGCACAAGGTCCTGAGTTCGATCCCCGGTACCCCCCCAAAAAATCAAAATTGGTATATACTATATGTGATAAACTGATTTCAAAATCGTTTTCCAGACCCTCAGACTGATGTCCTTAACCCAAGAGGAGATGTGAGAAAGGTGAGTGACGCTGCCTGGGATTCAGGGTGCAGGGTGGTCATCTCACAGCTGACTTCACTGATCCCGGATTCACAACCGGAAGTGCAGTTTTGGTGGAAAGCACACCTCAAAACTGGTTAGCGTTGTTTAAGGCATTTGAAATCTTGATTCACATAAAACCTGAGTGTGACAAGAACTCAAGCGCTTGTGTGGCGTAAATCGTAACGTTAAAATAATTAAACATGAATAGGGTCCCGCTCTCGCGTGTGCCCTCACCTGTCATGTCACTCGTCGTACTGCCCCATGGCCCAGGTCCCAGCAGCCCTGGAAGCACTGGGAGCTCCTGAGAAGCAGAATCCCGGCCACACTAGGGCTTGCTGGGTCCCCAGGTGACAGTGCTGCCCAGACACAAGGAGCAGTGCAGGATGGGGCTGGGAGTGCACAAAGTGGGTAGTCTCCAGGAAGTCCCTTCTGGAGTGGTGGCAAGGCCAGGGGATGGCACTGTGAACACCAGTTGGTCAGGAATGCAGGGCTTCAACAGCTAAAAGTCAGGTCTGTACTAGACGTCATCAACCTCCGGGCACTTGGTTTCCCCGAGCGCTCCGGGGTTCGCTATCCTGCAAGGCAATCTACCCGGTGGTCCAGCCCTTGCTGCCCCGGCCCTGGAGTGTGGGTGGAGGAGCATGCAGAGGCCTTTCCGGACAGCAGGAGTTTAACTAACCAAGCCTTTCCCAGACACTCCCGCCTCCGCCGACATGTAAGGCTCTGTTAGAGAGATTAAAGACTAACCTCGTAAGGCAATCAGGATGTCCCTGCTACACTGCAGAATACAGAGAGAACTAAGGGTTCACCTTAGTTTAAATTTCAAGACGTAAAAGCCAGTGTCACACAGGTGGTGATAAACACGTAGGACCTGTCACTGACAAGGGCCTGGGCAGCCAGCGGGCGCAGGGAGCACAGGCAGCTGCAGCCCGCTGCCCCCACAGCAAGTCCTTCCTTCCCAGGGGACGGAATTCATCTCACTCACCTATTATTTGCTTGCCTGGTTCTGGTCTCAGGCACCCTCTGGACAAGAGCCTAACATCTTACTGAGTCGTCTTTTGGCAAGAAGCAGGAAACAGCAGAAGCAGCACGGGGCCCCCTTGGAGTGTTTCTGGAAATACTGCGTCTGAAGCTGCTGGCTGGGTGCCCCTCCCTCGCCTCGAGACACCCACCTTAGGTAAAGACTCCCATGCCCAACTGGAAAGCAGTGCGAGGGGACCTGAGGCGGACCACACCCATGCCTGTCTCAGGAAATAAATCCGAAATGTTTTCAAGTATCAGAGTGGTTATTTCACTCATCTTGGAAATCTGTCATCCCCCTTCCACTTTTTTTTTGGTTTTTTGAAAACAGGGTCTCACTATGTAGTTGGGACTGACCTGAAGCTCGCTATGTAGCCCAGGCTGGTCTGGAATTCTCAGCATCCTCCTGTCTCAGCCTCCTGAGTGCTGGGATTACAGGCCTGTGCCACCACGCCCAGCTTCCTTCCCTTTATTCTTAAGAGAATTTCTTAAAAGTTTAAAAGTAAAGCTAGTAAGCAAGCAGAACAAATACTAAGAAAAAAAATAAAAATTTAGTCAAAACCATTAAGCTGCAAATTATTTAAATAATTTACTTTAGTTATATCTTAAAAATAACTACCTAGGAGGGCCAGGGATTTAGCTCAGTGGCACCATGTCTGCCTCTCAAGAGCAACGTCAAGTTCAATCCTTGGTACTGGGGGAAAAAAAAGACTACATAGGTTACTTAAAAAAAATTTTTTTTTTCTTGGAGACAGGGTCTCGCTCTGTATTGTAGTACAGACTGGCCTCAGGCTTGTGGTAATCCTCCTGCCTCAGCCCCCGAAATGATTACAGGTGTGTGCCACCGCACCTGGTACAGTTACTACTTTGTAAAAAGCAGCATCTTGGCTTGGGAGGTGGTCACCGCGGTAGGGGACAATTGGGACTTTACCCCTGCAACCTGACCTCAGCTATGTGAACTCAAGGATCACAGCTCCCTGACTCAGGGCAAAGCCCTCATGCTCTTCAGAAAGAAGAGGCTGAGCAGAAGAGGCTGGAGAGCCAGCCCAGCTCACTAATCGCTAAGACCCACACTCATCTCGAGCTGGATGATGGGGCGCAGGCTCCCGGGTGAGGCCTGTGGAGTTGCTCAGGGGCACCGGCTCTCCAGACCCCGAGCGCTGGCCTCACCATGGCTCCCCCTGGACACCGCACGGCACTGTCGGCAGGCACAGGTGTGATCGATGAAGGGCTCTGGTGGGAGGGTGCTGTAAATGTGAGGCTGGGGGCACAGCATGCTGAGGACCCCGTGGTCCCACCCAGCGCTGGAATCTCGCCAGCTCCAGCTGTCCATCTGTGACCTTGGGAAGGCTTGAGCAGGAGTTCACTGCTGGACAACTGCAAAATCCCTCACTGGTCTTAGTAATACTGGGCAATTTCCTTACGGCTCAGTACTCGGATTACTGGCTTCCAATAATCGCTCCCGCACCAACTGACCCTTCGCACCACCCCTCTGCCTTCACGTCCTCCTTAGTAAGATGAGACTAACAAGGATCTCCTGGGCCAGCTGCTGGTTCGGGAGAGGATTTGAGGGAAGCACGCGAATCAGCCCTGCCAACACTCCACAAATGTGGAGTGATTTTTCTTCTTGCTGTTATTACAGAGAGGCGCACGTGATTTCAAAAGTGTAAAATTTGAAAGCCCTGTTGGCTTCAGGATCTTGTTCCATATTTTAATTTCTAGATTTTGTTGCCACCAAGTTACAGTCAGATTTCATAAAACAGGTTCACCCTACAGAATCTGTAACAATCTGTAAGAGTAATTTTGATCACTTAATTTCATTAAGTTGGCGTTAAAATTGGCAAGATCTGTCATGTAAATGTTTGAGATCCCAATGATAAATGTACTTTATACTTGAAAAGTAATAAAAAACTCAATGAAAAAAAATCAGCAAGTATTAAAAATATATACATATACTGGGGACCCAATCAATTCCTCATCGTGAATTGGCGTTAAAATTGGCAAGATCTGTCATGTAAAGGTTTGAGATCCCAATGATAAATGTACTTTATACTTGAAAAGTACTAAAAAACTCAATGAAAAAAATCAGCAAGTATTAAAAATATATACATATACTGGGGACCCAATCAATTCCTCATCGTGCTGAAGAAAGGATTAATATGCTAATGAGCTAGAAGATATCTGTATCTTCCACATAGGAGGAACCCAGATGTGGCTGCCCATGTAAAGTATACACAACGTCCTTCCACAGCTCGTGAGAACAGCTCTGAATGCCATGAAATACATACTCAAGACAGGCCTGCTGATACAATGCAAGACAATTTCTCAAATTTACACATACATTTTTTTAACTTAAAAAGATACCCAATTAAAATATTAATAACCATCAAAAATAAGTTGACATAATGCAGTTAGAACAGATTTTCAATTAGGATTAAATTTACCTTGTGAATTATAAAGCAACTTCACTTAATTGCAAAACTATTCTATCCATACAGCATCTGCTTTTCAATAAATCTTGACCTTGGACCCAAGAAAATAAAGCTTCTGGGATAACATTTATATAAACACTGAACCCTAAACTGTACATTTTAATTTCTAATTTCTATGGTCGATAATACAAAAAGTTAATAAACTTGAACAAGAAGTTGTGATGGGGTGAGGCCCCCATGGAGCAGCAGGTATCGCTGTCACCCCGCCCCGTCCAGCAGCGGGAACAATTTCGAAGCGCACTGTCTGACTCACTTCCAAAAGATGAGATCTCAGAATGGATTTTAAGATCTGTTTACAAACATCAATTTCAAATCAATCCTCGCATAAAATACACTCCCATCAAGTGTGTACTAAAGCAAAGGGATAAGCAAGTTTAGATAAAGAAACATCCAAAAAAAGGGGGAAAGGTCTTACATCATTAGAGAACAGAAGATCTGAAATACGCACACCTGAACGCGGAATGATACTGATGCTCCAGATGCCATTTTCAGCTTAAACTAAAAACTTTATCATCACAGAAAATACACAGGTTGATTAATTTTGTTTTGATTTTTCACCAAGGGGAAAAATATAACACAACTTGACCAACACACAAAAAAGGCCTCAAAAACCACTCAACTGTCAGGATAGAGTTGAATATGAGTTTCTATTCATAAAACAGGAATATTTGCATGTAATTGCTTAGTATTAAAAAATTCAAAGAACTATCAAAAGCAGCACGTGAAAATAGTGTGGAGACTTTAGAATCAAGAAAACCACTACTTTAGAAAAAGAGATCTGAGATAGAAGACGGGAGACTCTGGGTCCAGCAGTTATCATAATATTAAGTTCAATTCTCCTAATGATTAGGAGGATATATTGATTAAAAAAAAAAAACCCTGACACTTCAAAGGAGAAAGAAGTGTTTTCCTAAAACAACAACAACAACAACAACAAAAAGTTAGTTTTTTGCAAGTCATATAAAAAATAAAAGCCTACTGTAACCTTCAGTCTGCTACTGCCTATTTCTGATGGGCAAGGGTGGGCTTCCCGCAGCAGGCCGCGCTCTCTCTCCAAGCACCAGAGCGAGCTGTGCTCACTCCGTGATGAGCCTGGGTGGCAGAGACCTCATCCCGGGACCCCATGGGCCCAAGGCCTCAGACCCCACACACTCAACCCTGGTCAAAGGCACATCCAGAGCAGCGCCAATCAGGCCTCTGGGAGGCACAGAGAGGCCACTTTTGCTTAAGTTTAGTGAAAAAAAGAAAAAAGAATAGTTTGCTAAGACTGGACACTAAAACACATAAGCATAGAAGGGCAGTATTAGCTTTCATAATTAACTTTTACAATCACTATTTTAAAACCAAAAGCATGAAAATGACCATTGGTCAAGAGGTTTTAACATCACATATGCAAATGCTAACTTAAATTCCACAAAGGATAAGCCCCTTGTATGTTGACAGATTTTCAAGGAAAAGCTTTCAGAGTCTCAGTGAACGATGAGGAGTCAAAAAAGGTCTTGGAAAACTAGATGTTTTCAGTCTAATGCTGTGCTGTGGGGAAACAGGGACATCTCACCGTGAATACAGAGGCGCACCCAGCTGGACGAGGCCCAGACGCCAGCACCACATTTACGGGAACCACTGGGAGAAGTTTATGACCATAGGAGGGGTTTCTGTGAGTGCGCTGAGGGAAAAAGGTGGACGGAACAAAAGAACAAAAGAAAGGAGGCTGAGGTTGAGGGCTCATCCCAGACACACTTCTAATTAGAATTTATTTCGGTGACATGTGAAAAAAAGAGTTCTACCATACACACATCTCCTTAGAGGCAATCCAGGCCTTCAGAAGACAGTTGAAAGAGAAAAAGAGCCTAAATGGCAGTTTAGGACATCAGGACAGAGAAAAGGTTCTTCACACAGTGTTTACTCTGGGAAAATATGTCTGTCACAAAAGCAAGAAGGGAAAAATCTCTTGGCGATGGCTGTGGTCACATAAGAGTCAGGTGGGCAGAGCTTCAGAGGTCTCGGTGTCCCATGTGTCCTAGGAAGGTTGCGAAGAGGCACCTTGAGGGCTTCTGCTGGACGCTGCCCATGTCCACTGACCTCCGCCTGCACAGGCAACACGGCTCTGCAGAGAATGCAGCGCTGCATTTCTTGGTGTTGCTGCCATCTGAAAAGTTAAAGCTCAGTAGAAGGTTGGCGAAGCAACGTATTTCTAACAACATAAATGGCAGAAAGTATTTTAATACTTTTAATTTAGCCGTTTTGAGGGCTCATTCTTCGTATACTCTTCTATTAAAAACAACAGAAAAACAGCGTTTGAAAAATAAAGATGCTTTCAGTAACCACACGATTGCTTTCTGGCAAGAACCTGCCGAGCCACCCTACACCGCAGCCACTCACTCTCTCCTCTGAAGCGGCGGGAGAGGACCTGGGAAGGAAGTGGAGCAGAGACCTGGAGGACACAGCCTGGCAGAGGCAGCCCGGCGCGCCCGTCTGGGGACTCTGTGTCACCCCAAAGTACTGCAGCCCCTGGGCAGGTGGGTGGTAACCCTGGCTTGGTCCGGTCCACGTTAGCGTGAAGTCCAGGGACAGCGGCCACCGCTGGCATGCACACCTGGAGGGCCCATCCTCCCACCCTGGGGAGCTCTGTTCTGACCGCTGCAAGTGCTTTTCCCCGTCACTGTCAGGGTCTGAGGTGGTCCCCAAAAGGGCACAGGGGGCGCTGGGCTGCAGGTTTGCAGACTTCTGTCACGGGACCCTGTCAGCCAGGGACACACAAA